TGTTAAAAATAGAATATCCCGTTAAAAAAATATAAAAAGGATGTTATCATGATTATTTATCCGACAATAATTATTAAATGTTTAAATCAAAGAAATCGAATAAACTATTTATTATATTCTCGATCAAATAAAATTTTATCGCTGAGAAATTGTTAAGGTCGGCGCTACATGAAAACGCCTAAATTTTGACCGTTTTTCAGAGGCTTATTTAAAATGAAAGGAATAAGTGAATCGTTTTGAAACTCAGCATGTTTATTCATTACTTATTAAAATATAAGAATCTGATTTTTTTTCAAAATGGCCGCCGTAGTAAATAATCTCCTGAGGCTCTCGCGACGAAAAACATCAATCATGGTGATTTTTAGCTTTAGTTACAGCAATCTAAAATTAAAAAAAAAGTGTCGGAGAGTGTTCCTAAAACATGTATCTTCTAGTTGAACTAAGGAAAAACTAAAAAGTCAAAAAAATCGTGAATTGGCACGACCCAGACAAAAAAGTCTGATTTTTGACCCTTTTTTTAACGGTTTTTGGGCCAGAAATGGCAATTTTTGAAAATTTTTGTAGCATTTTTAAAATTCAACTAGAAACTAATACTATAAAGAAAATGTGGGCTAAATTTCATAATAATCGGTTGAAACCTTTTTGAGTTATCTTTCAGCACAGTTTGAAAAAAATCGTTTTGAGAAAAACGCGCTTAAAGTTTAGCGTTGGCGTCTAGCGCTGAGTTGAGGCGGTGCACTTGAATGAATTTTTAATCGATAAATAATGCGAATTTCATTATAAAAATTTACAGGCATATTTTTATGATGGTAAACTAACTATTTATGAAAAAAACAAAGAAAATTCGATTTCTTTTTTATTTTACATGTATCGCCGGCCTTAAACCARATTTTAGTCTTCCAACGCTAGGAAGAACTCACGAAATTTCTATTTATTAAATATTAAAATAATTTACGTGTTTTGTGATGACAATGACAAAAATATCAATATATAACTTTATTTTTGAATTAATTCAATTTATTGATTTACAATWTTTATAATATATTAATCCTAAAAATAGCATAGAAGCAATAATGAGAATCGTCCTACAAATTACGCGTATGCCATAAAATAATTATTATCGATATCAGTATTATTGTATTTGTATTATTCATTATTATAGTTATTATTGTTATAAATAAATTTTCAGTCATAAAAAACAAAATATTAAAAAACGAAATTTATTAATTTAGTTACATATAACTACTATACTATTATCATATTTATTAATTTTTGTATTGCCAAAAATACGAGTTATTATTTTTTATTCAAACTTTTTTTTTATTCAAATAGTGTTTTTTTTATTTTTATTTTTATTTTTATTTTTATTTTTATTATTGAATTTGTACTGACATTTATTAGAATATACTACAATTATCAAGTGGTAATGAAGGAATCTTGCTGCATTTATGTGCAGTAATTTTGTTATACAATAAAACATTAAATTATTATTATAGTTACGCACTTTTTGTAAATTACATCATTATTTTGTGATGCGGTTTTAATCTTTCAATATTCTAATTGCTGTAAAGCGC